AAATTAAAATGCAATTAGCAATATATATATATAATGTAAATTCATTATTCTTGGATTTCCTCTTTTTTACTTTCTGACTACTCTCATCCCTGTGATATGTGTTTTTAGACTTTTAATAAGACCTATATTCACTTTTAGAAACTTGAGGTAACCAACATTATTCTTAATAATTTGATTTTCGATTTGATGAATATGACTTAATTTAATTTTCTCGTTCACGAAGCATAAATAGTTTCAAGAGAGACTAGATAACCATGTAGTTAGATTTTATATGTAATATCAAAATTAGACAGATTTCTGAGAAATAAATTTGGTAATTTTGCAAATTCATTTGTGGATAAATATCTAAAAAGGAAACATTTCTGCATTAATAAGAAAAAAATCTGTTTACTGATCCCTGAAAGAAAAGTTTTCTCAATAAGACTATTTAAGAATTTTTATTTAAAAAATTTCCTCATGCATCTTTAGAGAAAAATAAATAAATACTTTATTATATGAAATAATTTTTTAATATATAGATTTTTTAGAAAAAAATTATTTTCAGAGGGAATGGATTATAAGTATTTAAATAAAAATGTATGTTTTCTTGTAGAAATTTTAAAAATAATTTTTTAATTTTAATTTTTATACAAAAAAAAAGTCCAAAAACATTTGGTACGTTTTTCTTCATAATATATTTAAAAATATTTTCCAGAAACTGACTTGAAGTTGTTTGAAATAAATAAATTTAATTAACGATTTTCAAATCTAATTGTTTTTTAATGCTTTGCAATATGAGCTGGAATTACCATAAAATAACTTAAAATGTTTCTGTATGTGTTTTTCTGGGTTTTTATATTGATTATAGTACTCATTTTACTGAATCAAGAGGAAAAAAAAAATATTAAAAAATTATATTTTAAAATTATTATCTCTATTTAAAACTAAATAATATTGTTAGCTATTAAATAATATCTGTAAATAGAAATATAAATACTAAAATCATTGTAATAACCAAATCATTGTATTATAAATTATCCACAATATGAGCATGAATATAAGTTTAAAAGCACTCCATTTTTGAAACTTTTATCGAAAATTTCAGTATAAAATAAATACCGTTTCAGAAATAGAATGAAACACACAATAGTAGAACAATATAATCAAAATTATGAAATCATCCTGTACATATACCCAAACATATCCATTCATACCCAAACATACCTGAAATAAAACAATCTGCATGAGCTTTGGAAAGAGAGCATCGTTCTACAATTGACTCAAACTGGAAATAATGGCCCCTTTTTTTTCTATTTTTCATCTGCATTTAATCCTAGTTTTTGCAATTTCAAATCAAATTTTGCTTGAATCATTATGGCATTGTGGCCGAATAGGGAAAAGAAAGCATTATTTTTAACTTTTTGGTCATTTTTATGGTTTTAAGAGGCCTCCCCGCCTTTTTTTAAGAATTTTTAGGTCTTTCAACATCCGAGCCGTGGTAATTATAATGGTTTGCATTTAATGCATATGCATAGCTGCTTGTGTGTGTTTGTGAGGTTGAGGAAGGTTTTACTAAGTGGTAAGGTTTTAAGATTGTAGCTACATTTAAAATCATACTTGACTAACTAGATCTGAAATTCTCATGTTTAAATTATTGATTTATCATGGTATGTGAAACAATTTTAGATTTAATTTTTCAAATTAAGATTTGTATATGAAAAATACTACCGCTAAGAAGAATTTTCTTGACTACCGTGCAAGTTGGATATTACTCTATGATTTTTCTGTCATAGTTTTTTATTTATTTTTTTGTAATTTCTAAGCAAAAATTTTCTTTTGAAGCTTACATTTGTAATTCTTATTTAAATATTTTTTTCAGTATTTTGTAGACTTCAAATTAAAAGTTAATGATACAGCTTCTACAGAAGAATACAGAGAACACTTTTTGTCATATCTTGGAGTTGCATCCCAAGTTCCTAATGTCATGTGCAATGCATTAAATATTTTTGTTCAGTTCAGGTCAGTATCATGTACTTTTTTTTAGAAATGTTTTTTCCTACTTCAAATTCAAATGAGAATATTACAACGTCTAACATGGTTAATTGTAATATTTTCTTTTATTCATTTTAATTATAATCATTCAGTACTTGAAACATGAATTTAAATTTAAAAAAAATAATGCAACTTTCGAGACATATAATAAATAAGTGTATTCAGAGCTTTTTGGGGTCGAAGAAATCACTTGCAACATGGTAGATGCTGATCATTTTTTTAAAATGTTGGTGTCTGAGGATTAGATACATAATTACTTTCTTAAACTGGAGAAAAACCTTGTAAGGATTTGTACTAATTTGTTAATGCATTACTATGTACAACGAACATACATGCATGCACGATCAATGTTGCAATGCCATATCAGGGATTCGGCTAGATTTTGGATAGTACGGTTTTTTGCGATCCAGGACTTAAAAATTTCTGGATTTTTTATTTGCTTTATGTGGCCAGGGATGAAAGACTTCCGCGAAAAAGCGGAAATCCGCTTTTATCTCCCAATTTTAAAAATTTCGGACCATCTTCCAAAAACTAAAATTTTTGGGGAGTCCAATTAGAGAACCCAAGCCTCCCGAACAATAGTCGGATTACCGCGACTTCCGCTATAGAGTGGAAAGGAGTCTAAGCGTTTCGTTTCCGACCGCCGATATTTGATTTCTTTTGTTTGGCTGATTTTCGGAATTTTAAATATTAGGAACTGCGCCGGAATCTGCTAAAATCGCGATTTTTAATCAGACGATTTTAATATCAAACATCGATTTTCGTATTTAACTGATTTAAAAGTTGCGTGTTGCGATTTGAATGCCGTACTAGCAATTCCTATTCACTCAATTTATAAATCCAACATCGCGATTTGTATTTAAGCGTTTTTAAAACCCAATATCGCGATTTGTATTCTCGTGAGTTTAAAATCCAACATCGCGATTCGTATTCTCGCATTTTTAAATCCAATATTGCGATTCGTTATCACGCAGTTGTTGTAATATCAGATATTGTTTTTCTTATTTGTACGCTATTTAAAAATTACTCATTGCGATTCGTATTCACGTGATCTAAAAATTATTCATCGTGATTCTTATTTACGCAATTTAAAAATTCAATATCGCTATTTGTATTTTCGCGTTTTTAAAATCCAACAGCGCTATTCTTATTCACGTGATTTTAAAATTCAAAATCGTGATTCATATTCACGCGATTTTAAAATCCAAAATCGCGATTCATATTCACACGATTTTGAAATTCAAAATCGCGATTCATATTCACGCGATTTTAAAATGCAATATCGTGATTCATATTCACTCGATTTTAAAATCCAATATCGCGATTCTTGAAAGAAGTAGAAGTAAGTTTTCTCTTGAATTACTAGTTACTGTAACGATGTGGTATATTTTTCTTTAGTAAGTAATTTAATAGCTGTGCCTTCCTATAATTGCTTAATTTTTTTTAATATAGTAGTGGTCACAATTTTAAAATTATATTTAAGGAAAATTTAAAGTTAACTGTGTAAATGCTTCTGCCACTTTAAATATTAAATAAAAATCTCCTAGCATAGTTAAAAGTTGCTTTTATAAATCTCAGTATCTTATAGAGCACCCCTTCCCCGCCCTCTCCTCCCAGTGGCCTGCATTGTAAAAGTTCAGCTTTTTTTTATTTTTGTCCATTTTCATGCCTGTGTGGGTCCTAATTTAAAATGTTAATTTCGTTTTCAAAAGATTTACATAAAAAGTTAATAATTTATGTTTAGTAAAAATTAAAATGCAATTAGCAATTGATTTAGCATTAATTTGATAAAGAACTAAAGCAAAAAATTTTATATTAGTTACTTTTTGAAGTTCGAAATCTGGTGATAATTTCCAAAGCTAACAAGAGATACATTCTTTTCTTGCACACACACACACACATATATATTTAATAAATACAGGGGGTAGACAAAATAATAGAAACACTTCTTTACTAATACATATTTCTTAAGAAATGCTTCAAGATTTTAAGACCATGTGATTTCTCTTACTTATTTATAAACTTTAAAGCAATCAGAAGTTTGAGGGACTGACAATAAATTACAAATGGAAAATAGTGTTTTTGAACATCCTATGTCAAACAATGTAGCCATAAATTTGTAACTTATTTGCATCTTTTGAAATGTAAAGCCTTGCTCAAACGTAAAGATTCTTGCTCAATCAGAATTTATACATTTCTCTGACAAAATCTCACTAATACAACTTTTTAATCAGCATTTTTTGAAATGTAGTGTTATATGTTTACTTCTTTTAATTTATAAATTTATTTTTATTATTTTTTAAAGGATATCTTTGTCTCCATTTAATTCATGTTAGTGGATGTTTCAATACCATTTGAATTAGTTTTAGTAGCAAATATAAAGAAAAAAGTCTGAAATAAGAAAAGTCTTAAAAATTTCAAATCTCTCTCTTATATTATTAAGATATTTTATGGATGCTTTATGTTACTTGGTATTTGTCTACTAAGTATTATTTTTAAATCACTAAACAAAAACTTAGATGGCCGTTTTGGACTACTAAATTTGGATTGCTGATAGGAACTTTAGCAATGAGATGTTTTTTAAATATACTGTAGAAGTGATTGGTTGTTATTTATGGAAACATTAAGTTATCTATCAAATAATAATACTATTTTATGGTACTCTGTGTCATCGTGCATTTATTAAAAATTTAAAAGCTACAACTCTGAAAGAAAAATGGCTTTTGGCATTTTGTACAAAATTGCAATGACTGTGTTTGAAAGTACCTACTTTAGCTTTTTATTTTTAAAACTATACATGCATTTTTTACAAAAGTCTAGAGAGTATGTTCACTTTAACTACCTGTAATAAGTCAAATTTTTTTCAATGCTTTCAGTGGTGGATCTTTAACGTTCAGAATAATAGGCAGCATTCTTATTGAAATTGTTATTTTTATTGCTACAATATTCCTTGCTATGGTTGATTCTTCCACATGTGAGTATATAATTATTATTATCTAAAGTCTCCTTAACTATTAGAAGATTACATAATCTTTTTATATCTCTCTTAAAAAATATATTTTCTTCATTTTTGTCCAAAAATTTTTTTTTTATAGCTAAAGGTTTAAAAAAAATTTCATAAAAGAATAATATTTTTCTAAACATAATTTAATCTGTATAAGTTTTATTGCTTTTTAAAAATACTATTTTTTGCTTAAAGTCTATGTAAAAAAATTACTTAAAATTCAGGAAAATAAACTTTTTTCATTTCTATAAAAATCATTATTTTTATTTTGAAATGCTTGCCACTATGGAAATTTTATGTTTATGACAATATTTTCTTAAGCTATCTCTTTTCTATCTCTTGACTAATTACAATTTTATTTTGATCTATGGATATCTAATTATATTTTAATAAAATGTTTTGTTATCTTGCTTATTATTTATAATTTAAATGTGTCCCTTTATTAAAAAAATATACTTTCAATACTTCTTTTACTTAGGGGCTGGTGTCTTCTTTTATACAACGATGGCATCAGTTGTTGTTATTAATAGTAAGTTTTTATTTTTAACATAAATAAATTTTGTGAATGAAGAGAGTTCATTCCCATTCTAGAATAAAATTATCAGTATTATTTTGTGCCTGTCTTAAATAATTTCCACATCTCTGATAAAACCATAAATTGTTCAATTTTACTTTACCAACATTTCAACACAATATAGATAAATAAAATAAATGTTGAGTAATTTTTAGTTTTTCTGAGGGTTTATTCTTCACAACTTGTTGTAATATTCTAAAGTCTATTTGTATTTTATAAATAATAGTAGCAAAACAAAAAGGAAACTTTATTTAGTTTTGAATTTTTTTTTTTTTTTTTTGCTACTTATACATTAAAATGTAATTGATAAAGATTTTGGCCTTCACTTGTTATATACACCAGATTTATTTATTTTTTCAGTTGGAAAATCATGTCAATGTTTATGGATACCATGCACCACAAATAAATTTGTTTTGATCAGGAATACGTCTAACAATTTTTAAAATTGTGAATGGTTTATGACATTATGAACAAACATAATTTCTCAACAAATGAGGTTTTTTTTTAGTATCTCGATTTTCAAATAATTTCATATTATTAATTTTGTACATATGTTATTGAATAAAATCGTTATTCTTGTACCAGATCCTCATATCTCTCTTCTAGTACAATTTTTACTTTTTTTTTTTGGTAAAAGTTATTTTTCATAATGCTAACTTAGAAACATAACATTCTGCCAAGCATTTTTTACTGAAAACCATTATAGCAAATCTCTCTTTTTTTGTGATAATTAAGTCAGTAAACAAATAAAGCCAACATTAAAAAATGACCTTTTAATTTCAGACAACAGAAAACTTCTGTGCAAAAGGTGGTCATTTTACTTTTGAGAGGTGGTTTCATTAATATGACAGAACTATGTATTTTTGTTACTGTTCATGGGTAATAATTATGTATGGTCATAAGTAATCTGGCTGTTATATACCTAGGTCAGCAATTATCTGGGTAGCTGTTAAAGATTGTATAGCTGTTATTACACTTAATGAATAGCTGTTATTACACTTAATGTATATTTTGCATACAAACACAATAGTAATTTACATACAAACACATTTATGAATATCTGTTTTGAGTTTTTCAATATTTATGTACATTTTTTAAAATTAACTGTTGAAATTAGTTCTGCTAAAAAATTTCTGTATTATTGTAGTGGCCAATGGAATTTACCAAAATAGTTTGTATGGTTTAGCAGCTAAGTTACCTATGAAGTACTCAATGGCTATTGTTTTGGGTTCAGTAAGTATATATTTCACTATACTTTTCTTCAAACTCTTGTTGGTTTATGTATATCTGTAATCTTGCATCTTTTCAAACGTTCTGTTTGTTCTTTACACATTTAAAAACATTGATTGTCTGCAAAATTAAATTGTACTTTTCAAAATTACACTGAAATGTAAATATAAGTTTTTTTATAAGACAAACCTAAATTTTAAAAATTCATCTAATATTCTGAAAGGATCAATAGAATTTAATAATAACAGATCTTCATAAAACATAAGCATTTAAGTATGTTTGAATGTCAACAAAGTAATAACAGGGATTGTGGTTATCTTGATATTCTTGGTAAATATACTTTGTCATCATGTTTAGCTTTTTGCCCTGACAATCCTGATTTTTGTATGTGTTCAGAACATCCCATTTTCTACAAATGCATCAAATACATCTTTTAAAAGAATAGATTTGAAGAATTGAAAGATTTGGAATTTCTATCCAATATCTTTTTATTTTAATTAATAGTATGAAGTGGAGTTTCTTTAAAACACTTTCTGAATTTTTTATTGTTTTAATTAATATTACATTAAAAAAGCGATGTCAATCTCGGAGTACTATACATATATATGCACAACACTTTTTTAATGTAGTAAATAAAACTATTTGAAATGGTTAGAAAATTTTTAATGCTGCAAACTCATTTCCTTTTGTGGGGTAACTTTGGGACACCTAACTCATCACCTCAAAATTGATTAAGACATTATTTTAACTCATAGACTTGAGTTGCCAAGTCTTAGACTTAGGTCAGATTCTGATTTTTGTGTCCAACCTTGGGACCTCAGTCCAACAAATCATTTTTTCAGTTTTTTTCTCTAAATAACATATGGATTGGAGGACCCAATCATAATTTTCACATATCCTCAATACTCTCTCGCAGATAAGAGAGTTTGTAATCCCTGTGTGTTTTAGTTTCTCCTTAATTCCTTTTTAAAACCTTTTTTTTAAAAATAAAAAAAATTAAATGTTTAATAAAGCTAAAAAAAAGTATAACTCTTATTAATGAAGCATGTATTTTCTTTTTTTTTAAACAATTCTTTTAATATTTATTTTTTTACGAGTTAATATCTTAATTCATGTTAAAACAACTAGCTTCCCAATTTTTCCAGTCTTTTGATGGGATGAATATAAAATAATGTGAAGTTAGTCACAGGAAACTGATGCCTGCAGTTATTGGTCAAGTTAATGCTGGTGTTATAAACTATCATTCATTACAGCGATTTGACACGTGAGAGAATATTTAGCCCCTTAGCAAAAACCCAAATTTAATTCTGTTCATTGTTTGGACCAAAAAATTTTTCAAAAACATTTTTATTCAATGTTTTTAAGGAATGCTGTATTAGTCACTCAGTCTGAGTCACTAATTATAAGAGGTAAAAGAATTACTTAAAAAATTTTATTCAAAGAATCTGTGAATTTTTTTCATTAATTTGAAAAGTTTTACATTTTTTTAAATTATTAGGGATTTTTTGTGAAATGGGATATTTTTTTGTATAATTTTGTTGTGTTTTAGTCAAACTCAGGTGGTTTGACGATGTACAATTTATTACCCTTTTTTACTATAGTAAAACCTTGTACCTCTCTACTCTCATTAATACCTGCAAGTATCCTCCAAGTATACAATTTGCTGAAATAGTGAACAACAACATTATGCATTAGTTCTTTGTGTTTCATCATTAGATCAAGCTATTTAATTTATCTTAACCTTTTCCACTGACATTGTAACATCAGAATAAACATTGTTCTTCACTTTAGTTATTGTAAAAGAACAATGCTAGCAAAAGTTCATCAAAATTTTACTCCGTGTACTGCTTATAACCTGTATCTTTCACGGGTGTCTGCATAACTTAAGTGAATCTTGTTCTAGCATTCACAATGGGATTTTCATTACTTTGGGTCTAATCCAATTTATAGGTGCTTGCTTATTATAATTTTTGATTAATTACCAAGGTAATTATTTCCTTAACCTACATATGTGTAATTTTGTCTTAGGAATGATTTATGTACAACAAAATAGTTGAATTTTCTCATTTTATCATTCAATATACATATTTTATTAACTAATGAACATATTGATGCTTAATATACATGTTTCAATTGTGCAATATGTATCTTTCTTTATTATCCATTTTATATTATGTTTAAAAGGTGCAATATATATTTTCCTTATTATTCACTTTGTATATTGCTCTTCTTTAAGTTATGTAGTGTTTTAATTGCTAAGGAATCCTTCCCTGTTTTTATATTTACTGTACTCTTAAACATCTTTTGTAAAGCCGAAAGATTCTCAAGATCCCTCTCATCTTCTGACTTCTTTTTACTTGCCCAAGAACACCTGCTTCTCTGTCCAGAAGAAATACAAATAATATATAAGATGGAAAAGTCAGGCTTCACTAGCAAAATAGGCATTTTCTCATCTATTATCAAGCAAAAACACCCTCTAACTTCTGCCAAAAGGAAACTCTGTTTTGCCATAAGTTTCATCCCTCCATTTTAACCGTTAAATCAAGTCACATCCTGGCCCTTTGACTCAAAAGCAAAACTATATATCTTGTATCCCTTGACAAATGTGAAATTTTATAAGGAAACTGGCCTCATTTTACTTTCAAAAAGGATACATAAAGCTGTCTCAAACCTCTTTGACTTTGCAAGGTAGATATTTTGTTACACTTTTCTGCAACGGAGTCATTTCTGCCATGAGATTTCAATTTTTTACTGAATTTCTTTCTTTTTGCCAATAGTGTTTGAGGGGAATACTTCCCACCTTTAAGCTATTGGCTTTTGTATTTGTGATATCACTGTAACTTTTCTCCATTGGCTAAATGTTAAGAGCTAATGACAATTTTTAAGGCATTGCATGGCCACGGGTAGTAATTATTGATGTGTTTTATGGAAATGAATCTTCAGTATTACTAAGTGTTCAGTATTCTCTGGACAATTATGGATTTTTGTTTTTCTTATCTTAAGGGTTATTTCATTTTACACTCTTTCAACATTTTGATATGTTTTAAACATAATCATAACAACTAAAGTAGTACATCCTTAAATAAAAAAGTTATTTTTAAAAAAAAAATCTGTGTGACCCTTTAAAAAATGTCATACTTCAAAATAGGCTATGTGCCTGATATAAAAGTTTCTTACTGCTGTGAGGATCTTACTCTGGTTCCTATTCTATAAAATATTGTAAGTTCATTTATTGTATTGTAATTTTATTTAAGCTAAAAATGAACTATCATTTTGCACCTAAAATGATCTGTGACTGTTCTTTTATAGACTCAATATTGTGTGTTATTTTTATTTCCTTATGGGCTATTTTCTTTCCTTTGTTTTATTGTGTTAATTTTTTTCCTTTTTATTTTCATATGGTTTTTGTAACAGTGAGGATTTCAAAGTTCATTGCTGTTCTAGGAAAAGAGGAGGGGTGCCTCTCTTCTGAGTGATGAACTTCCTTTTTGTGAAAGAAAAAAAAATTTCTCCCTCAATGCTCTTAATTTTGTATAGCTTCTAGTGAAAATAAAATTTCCTAGTTTTTATTAACAGTCTTCATTATCTAAAAATATGAAGTAACAGCATATTGCTTTCTATTTTCAGATCATAGTGAATCTTTTAGTGACTATTTTAATCAGTCATGAAAAGAGTCATTAAATTTGGAGGTAATTATTTAATTCTTTGATAGTATGTTTTAGTTTTGGAATTAGTTACCTTTTAAAAAAAAAGGTTTAAGGAAATGAGATTTTTAAAGCTTTGGATTACACTTTTTTCTTTTAGCTGTTCATTTCTCTTCTTAAAAATACTGAACAAGCTCTCAGATTTGATTAAGTTCCGACCCATAGTTTCATATGAATGTTGACCAGCGTTCAATACCAAATAAGCAAACCCCATCCACCCAAGTTAGATAATATATATGCGCACATGTAGGCCCTTCGCAGATACACTTGCAAAAATTCTTAAATTTTGTTGATACTTTAATAAAATTTTAAAGTATATCCTCGGGTATTAAAAGATCGATTGTTGTGATTGGAATCCCAGCTATTTAAAAATCTAAAGTCTTAAACTCATGAGGTTAAATAATCACGATTTGTGTTCTCACTATTTAAAAATGCAATATCGTGATTTGTATTCATTTGCTTTTAATATTCAATATCATAATTCATTACATTAATATGAAACTTCTAAGTATGTGAATTAAAAATTACACTTTGCTAAGAGTATTCACAAAATTTAGAATTTACACATTACAACTGAAATCCACTCTATTTAAAAATCAACTGGTATGATTTATATTCCCACATCTTTAAAATTCGATTATAACTATTTATGTTCAGGCAATTTTAAATTAACATTGTGAACTTCTCCCTATTGAGCAGAGTTTCTCAGCAAAATTTTAAAACTCCACTGAATGTGAAATTTGCTTTGTAAATTTTAATATATTTCTTCAAAATAATAATTTTAACATTTGATCTGAAAAAAATTAAAAGCATTGAAGGAAAAGAAATGTCCAAAAACAAAGGATTTGAAAACTATCATTTTTAACATAATGAAACATTCTTTTTTTTCCTTTTCATACGTATTTGTTATCCATTCTGTTCAAATGTGCTTCTGCTGTAAAGTTTTATTTTATTTTGCATCAGTTTAAAAAGTGATTTCAATAGAGGAACTGCTTTTTTAAATTTTGTAAATGTTCTTGTTTTTCAAATGTTAGCAACACTGCATGTTTTTTGGGAGATAAACTAATTTTGACTAGTAGCTTTTATCTAAATTTGGTAAGTGTAATAAATATATTAGTTAAGAGATTTTTCGATTTTGAACCACCATTTACTGTACCTACTTTATAATTACTTCAGTTATGTAATAATATTTGTAATTAAAACTCTAGAGCTTGATTTATGTTAACTTTAATATTTTTCATCAATTGAATGTAGTTTGAAAATAAACTAATTGTTGTTTTCCACTCATTATCATCATCAATGGCTCAGCAGCCCTGGGTGGGCCTTGACCTTCTCAAGAAATTTTTTTCAGGCCAACTTTTTTCCTGCTAGTGTTTTAGTTCTTAAGAGCAAAAGGTCTTTCCACACATTAACCCTCTTTCTATGTATCTTACATGGGCAACATGGAAGTTGATGGAAATCTTTATAACTTTGATTAATCAGTCACACCTTCACTCATATTACATTTAGCTAAATTATTGCGTTATAAAATTAAAATTCGTGATTGTAACATTTTTCTGGAAAAGTAACATGCACCATTAATAATTTATTAGATTTTAATCATGTGGAAGGAAGGTTACAACTAAACTTCTCACTTGTTTGTTCATGTTAAAGGCCAAAAATGCTCACTGTCTGTGATGCCACAACATTTGTATAAAAAGCTAGGATGTTCTTGGTCTTATTGCTTGTGTAATCATGATATAATTTCCTAGTATATTATATGCTGTGGCATGTTTTTGTTTAACTACTAATATAATCATTTGTAAATAATCACAGTAATTTTATTCAAACAAAATTTATGGATTGTTGCCATATCGTCTTGTTGCATCTCACTACATAGAAGTCTCTACATCCACCAAGCAGAAGTAACAAAATTTGCTCAACCTGCGATTTCTGCAGATTTCTGCAGTGATGCATTTTTCGGCTTTTTTACTGTGCAACTGGCTCTACTCTTATTCATGGTTCAACTATTTCATGATGTTTATTTTGGGTTAGTAGATGGAGTTACTTACCCATATTTCTACGAAATGTAGAAGCCTCTTTTGCTGCCTTTTTACACTCTTTTTCAAACTGTGCTTGCTGTTTGTTGCTAAAAAAACTGTAAAATTTTTTTTAAATTATGTTTTATAAATATTTTGCATATTTTTATTTGTATATACATTTCATCTTTGTATCTCATAAAATAAATCATAATGTAACCAAGATTAGTTCTTAAAATTTTGCTTTCATATCTTTCTTTAATTTCAATTTACCGACAACCTTTTTTAATAATCTACTTTCATATTGAAAAAAAGCTTTTTTTAAAAAAATAGTATTTGTATATTTTTATTCTAAAATATATGAAATATATCTAAATTCAAGTATGTAATAAATAATATGCAACTTTTAGACATATTTTGATAAAAAATTATACATTGAGAGGGTTAAGAGTAGTATATGACTGAAATTAGCACTGATTTTAATTTAAAACTTATTTCTGATGAATAGCAATGCCAATTGATTTTTAAAGTCTTGGAAGATCCTTGAAAACTGGTAGTTATCCCATAAAAAAAAGCTTTAAATAACTCTGAAAAGAAACATATTTTATAAATAATCATAGTCGTCATTTAATTTGTTTTAAACTAACCTTAATAATGTTCAATATCTTATAATTAGCTAGAAATGTTGTAAAATATGAGAAAAGTGAAAAAAACTCACATACTTTTAAACAAGTAAGTGTGTTAGGCTATAATTTAATGTTCTTCAAAATGATAAAAAAAAATTATTCACTTGTTTTGACCAAATGCCATAATTTTACTAATTCTGCTAGTTCTAATTTAAAAAACAAATGTATAGAAAGTTAGAATAGTCTTGTGCTGAGCACAAAATAAAGACATCCTGAATAATTTTTGATCTAATGATCAAATCTTTATGCTCCAGGACTCAATCTTAATGGTTTAAAAAGGTAATCTCAAATATGCTAATTAATTAGTGCAGACAGTATTTTAAGTTACGAAATCAGACACAACATTTTAATCTGATTGTGGCCAAAAGTGTGCATAGGAAGTGAGAATTATCAAGAAGTTTATTTGTCAAGTTAAAAATTAATCTAGCTATTTTAACTCATCAAAGCAAATAAGAATATATAAAGGCGAGTAAGTATATAACCACAAAATTCTAAATTAATATATCAATAACATTTAAGCTTGGTTATTAAACTTGTGATTGTATCAGACCATAAACTTTTTCAATGCTTATATGATTTTGGAATCAAAAAAATTTTTAAATAAGTATTCTATTTGAGTGGATTTTAAATTTAAGACGCTATTAATGTTAGATAAAAAAATATTTTTTAGTATAGTATTAAATAGCCTGTTAAATGTTTTTTATTTCCCAAAATACATGCAATAAAAGTTAATTATTATAAAAAAATTTTAAACTCTTAATTTTCTATAAAGTTTTAATATTGATAAATTCAAAACAATAGGCTGTCCAAAACAACAAAGTCAATATTTTTTATATTTTACCCATTTTCAATGTTTGTAAAATAACTTCAAAATGTTTATGCATTTTATGACATTTATTTTATAATAATTTTTCAAAAAATTTCCTGCTGCATATTGTTTGGTGTTATTTAAGAAAAGTGTCCTCTCTGTTACCAAAGATTTTCATTTTTATGTATACATAAAATCAGTCCACATGGTATTTTTATTTACTTATGAAAAGACCTTTGTTTCAGTACAGAAAGTAGATTTTTCAAATACATTATACGTGCATACTTATGTATGCTAAATATAAGTAAAAAATATAGTATATACTGAAAAAATATAGCAGAATTATTACCAAAGTAATTAATAATAAAAATAGTTATAACTACTTTAGCAATTTTTCTGCCTTCTAAATGTATAATGAATTGCATAGTGATGAAATTACTAAAATGATTCTTTGTAAAATGTATTGCACAATAGGTTATGTGATTAGCTTAAATTATAAACATATAATTTGCTTTAAAATTAATGAGTGAAATTTCGAGAAACATTGTATACATTCATGAAATGAAAAGCATATATCTTTTTATAGCACATGGTTTATTTATTTGTATTTTTTAATGTATGAAATCTGTATGTGTTTTACAATATGTTAAAAAATTATCAACATTTTATTATATTTTTTACCTTTGAAATTAATGAAAAAAGATAATAAATTTTAAATATTTGTTGCATTAAATTTCAAACATTAATAAAGATGTAGAAATGCTCATTAAATGTAATGCTTGTGTTCAAATAAGCATATCACTAACAATCAATAAATACAGCATGCGCTTACATTCCATCAATAAATAACTTCATTAATCTTTCTTTTGTAATCAATGAAATTTTTATCAAAAAAATATTCCACAGGCAAACAAAATAACAAAGAAAAATAACATTCAAAACTATTAAATGTCATTTTTGGTTTCTATGTTAAATGTGAAATATAACCTTTATCTCAAGTGTCATGACAGTTTCATTAAATTAAAAACTTGAAACATCTAGGTCTCTCTTTATTTCTTTTCATTGAAGTATTTAAACATATCAAAGTTTTTATGCTTTTCAGTCCTTAAGCAATTTCACAGTTTAAACTGAACTTATCAAAAATTAGAAAATTTTCTTTTTAGTTCAGCTGTCATAATAGAAGCAGTGAATTATTAAGTAATTAGATGTTTTGCCAGTTCAACTGATTTTCTAATTTATAATTTTCTGCAATATTATGATTTCAATATTCTAAACTCCACTTTTAAACATATTATTTTGCAAAAAGTACAGTAGAGGAAAACAGGTACAGTCTATAATAGTTATTTTAAAGGGAAATGGGTATTTTTTGGTCTAATCTTTTTATATATTCATTAAAGATATTTTTTAACTGAAAAGTTCATTTCCTTATTCTTTGTCTAAAAATAACATACATCACACACATTTTGAAATATTGGTTACATTTAATACATATCCATTGATGAATTTTAACAAACCCTTAAGGGTTTACAATACAAATAAACTAAGCAATAAGTGTTCTTTTTCCCAATTTTACACTTGTCATTCAGGTATCAGTAGTACAAAAAATGAAAGAACATCCATGCATTGTGTGGGATTCGAACCCCAAACCTTTCTGATGTGAGGTCAGTTTCCTGACCGCTATACAGTCCAGTCAGCTACATTAAACGTAATGTGTATGCATATTACACTTCATTTGATTTATAGATAAGTAATGTATTATAATTTAGTTGTACATTTTTTTTCTATTCATGTATTTTTATCTTGTATTTAGTTCATTTATGTTAAGTAAAAAATTGAACTTCTAAACTAATTAAATGAGAATGAAAATAATGTCACAAAAAACTCACTCTGTGGGTATAAAATTGGGATTTTTCAAATAGGCTCCAATCTGAAAAAAGTCTCTGGGTTTTTTTGGTTTGGGCTCACCTTGGTGAACCCTGTGTGGTTTTCAAGTAAGTCCAATCTGTAAAATCCCACTTGGTTTTTCTGGACTGGACCTGCTTTGATAAACTCTGATTTCATTAAAGGTCTAGTGAATAAATATGATAATACTCTGTTTTCATTTATTGAATAAATATATTACTTACATTATGCGTAGTTAATCTTTGAATTTTGAATATTCATTTTGTTTTACCCTATAAAAGTATTTCTTTTGCCCCTCATTTTTTATGGTAGTTTTGTAGTTTTATTCATTGCCACTTGTAATTTATTTGAAATTTTATGTTTTATTGAAACTTCTAATATAAATTTATTTACTGAAAATCTGTACATGTCCTTATAATAATTTAACAAATTTAATTATTTCTTTTTAGAACACAAGTGGTACTTTTGCTTCATTAATTCTTATTCTATCAATTGCTGGTAAGTACAACTCGTTTTCAAATACATTAAAGTACTTACTTTTTCTTGCGATTTTGTGTAGATTGGAAATGTATTGATTTCAATTTTTAATCTTTTACTAGGCAAGTTTTTGTCTGTATTTTTTATCAGTTGTGTTTCAAAGAGTTAATTTTTTTTATATAAATCTCACTTTTATTTATACAATTTCACACTTGTGAATTTAACTTTATATTTAACATTGAATATATCTATTCCTTATTCCAACTTATCCAAAGTCAAGATGATTTCTTATCTATAACAAAACCCTTGTGTTACTCAGAATATATTGCTTCCCAAAACTGTAATAGATAGTTAACATGTGAAAGATATAATTTATTCTTTGAATAAGATGAAGAAAAATGTGTAGTTAAAAACTTTCGTTTAGTTTAAAATATGGAATGTTTGACCATTTGGGATGTGTGATCCATCTTTTTTTTAAATTATGTACTCTGAAAGTTATAATTAAAAATGTAAGGGAATTAGAAATTTTTGACTTGATTAAAATTCTGCATACTTAAATGCCAAAAAAGCTCTGTTAAACTAGTAAAAACAAATATATCAGAATTAAGGCTTTTTTTCTTCAAAACACTGATGAAGTGAAAATAATAGCTACCTATATATTATAAATTTAAAGAAAAATTAAAACAAAGTGAGAATAACACAAGGAAAAAAAATGTTTGCCTTATTTAACACTGAAAGTCACAGTTTTCCTTATTACTCAATTTTTTATTTTATATATATATATATATAATTATTTATATGGAATCTTTCTTTAAATATGTCTGTAATAGGGCGATTCCACGAAAAGTGGTCCTGAGTGACTAAATTTTCAAAATTGTCGTAAAATCAAAAATGACACAATTTCGGAATCTAGAAGATGTACATTTTTTAATAGTTAAGATAGTTTTTTGAATTACAAAAAATATTTATGTGAATTCTAACAAAAGGTGGAACACTATGAATTTTAACAGGAGTTCTCTTCTTTGTTATGTTATATTCCAATGGAGTTCTTAAAATATTAAAGAGCAATAAAATAGTTTTTAGTAATAAATATAACTATTTTACTCTTTTATCATTGTTTAATGTATTTTTTTAATTTGGCCTAAATTTTTTTGCTTGTTTGAAAGTCGATTAATCAAGATAGTCTAATTTCCCAGTAACACACGTAACATAATTTTGCATTTTTTTCTGTAAAAACTTTAGTAAAAAAGAAAATTTAAAAATTTTTTGTTTTATAAATTAAGAAGGCAAGATATGCAACGGAAAAAATTCTCGAATTAAAACTGCCAATAGTTAAAATTTTATAATTAATTTTATTCAAGGTAACACACGTAACGAAAAGTTACGCGCGTTACTGTTATGTGTGTNTTAAGAAAAACATAAAAAATATCTAACAAGTTTATTATAATAAGTGTTAAAGTTGAAATATGTCATGTAAAAGTAACACACGTAACGAAAGAATCGCCCAATAGGCCTTTTTTCTTAATTTTTTGTTGGCTACACCCTTATTATCTAAGGCTTTTAATTAACATGTGAAAATAGTGTGACTTTTGAGATAGATAACATAATCTCCATTCTCAGTTAAAAAACCATTAAAAAATCATTATTTACCCACCATTTGCAAAAGAAAGTAATACAAGTGAAGTATTTCAAAACTAATTCGAAAAATCAATGACACTGTTTATTAAAGATTAGGGTAAAAGAAAGCACATCTCCATGTGAATTGCTCACAGTATTGGTCTTTTTTAGACAATTTTCAATCGGTGAAGTTGATCTTTAAAACATGGTAAGTCACTTGAATATGGATCGGAACTAAAAATTATGGAGAGTTGAGAATACAACCCATGAAAGCTAGGCAGGAAAGTAATTGTGTTCTCATGTAGACATAGGAACCAGATTTTTTGTACAAGTGATTGGATCTTGAATCGCTCATTTTGTAATGAAGGAAATGAATATATATAATTGCCAAGCCATGCTTATGCAGGCCTATACAGTTCAAAGTTTCATATTGAGAATCGACGGGTCTTTGCCAAGTCTGTAAAATAGATTTCTCTAGGTAATAGGTCTATAAAGTAAACATCAAAACATCCTCATTCATTAAAAACTTACAAATAAACGATAATTTGTGTCAATTTCAATCAACAACATATTAATTCATTTGGTTTGCCAATCGCAATTTTGGCAGCTTTTGTTTCAGATTTCCAGCTGGTTTTTAAAATCTAGATATTTAATACATCAAAATAACATGCTACAAATTCCCATTAAAGCATTTAATTAAATTATTTTTTGACACTGTCCATTAGCATCAATTCCTTTGTGAGCCCTCCTGGTTTTCGATTTTTTTAATGCTGCATTGTTTTGTTCAGAAATTTTTAAATTACTCATTTGATGAAGTCAAGTTTTGATTTATGACTAGTTAATTGTCAATGTGTTTTTCACGATAGCATTTTCAACGGTTTAGGATTTCCACATATGTTTTAATATTTCTATTTCTTTTTTGACATACTATTTCAATCTAATATGTTTTTTCTCTCGCTGTAATAAAATGTATCCGAGTTTGAAAAACTTCGGCTTTCGTTTATGTGATATCCAAAATTTTTTTATCATATAGTAACTGAACTCAAATTAAAAAAAAAATGGAACTTTAGTAAAAATCATAACGTGGGAAGGCAGATTTTCATCCCTTTTTTTTTCCAACTGATCATAAAGGTAAAAAACAATAATATATTTTAAGATGTGTCCGAAAAATAGACCCCTCTGGTAAACAAACGTCTGCATACAGGACTTTGTACTGTATTAAGATAATTTGATATTCTTGTTAGTTTGCTATTATTGATGGTTTTCTTCTAATTGTAAGTTATACATGTTTGCTTCTTCTGTAATTTAATAATGCCTATTTTTTTCATTCTAGCATCTCCTAATCTAAGAACTGCTGCAATTTATTATTTCATTACTGCTCTCTTTGTCTTGTTAGCCTGTGTTGATACATATTTTGCTCTTCCATTAATAGTAAGTAAATTTTATAATTTACATAATTTCATTTTACACCCTGCCACTGTAAATATAAAAATGTATTATTTATTTGGAATGGTTTTCTTTTGCTGAAGGAAAATATGTTAAACAATATTTATTCAAGGTTTTTTTGGTCATTCTGCATCTGCCGTTTGGTACACTTTGTGCAAATACTATTTAAAGTAAATTTTAAAAAAAAATTTTTTGTTTAATAAAAACAAATTCTTTTACAAGCTAAACATATTATTTTCTCCAAATGTCTTAATTTTTTAAAAAGAAATGTTGTACCAAAACATTAAAAAATAAAGAGCATAATCTTGCCAAATTGTTAAAATTATTTTTTCAAGATTATATATGAAATAAAATAACATTTTAAATAAAGTATTTTACAATATTGACAGTTTTCTTGTACCCATCCTACACTTTATGAGGGGAAAAAAACACTCTGACTTGGAAATTTTGAGATTTTTACCTGGAAAGCCTGATCTCTTTTAATATTTTTTTACCCATCTACTGTTGATTAGCAGCCAAAAGAGGTTGGTTTTCATTAAGTTGAACTGAAGTCAATACATTTTGACTTTAAATAAATTTAGTCTACAGCGGCTTAATTGCGCCCATTCGTTGCCAATTTCTGTGTTCCCTTATATGCTTTAACCCCTTAACTGCCGAGTAAAATTTACGTGATTCACACCCCAGTGCCACCGTTTTTCGCTCAAATGCACTTTCTTACGCGGTGTTTCAGTGAGGGGAAAAAGATGCACGCGTTGCAATTTTAGAACAGTTTACTTTTACAAGACAAGAAAAAGGAAAGAAAGAAAATACAAAATTTAAATTAAATTATAAAAATACAATATAAAAGATGTTAAAACTTAGCTGTTGTATGATAAATACTGAAACATGGTTGGACACATAATCCAGCATCACATTCATTGCACTGATAGCGGGATTCACGATGAATTTTTTTCTTGAACAAACAGCACATTTTCGCGATGCATTTGAAGAGGTTGATGGAAAGAATAAAAAGCACCAAATACACACGGGAAACGGAAGAGAAAAAAGAATAAACCCGACCTTACTCAAAAAGAGACAAGAAATGAATAATATGATATCACTTTTCCATAACATCCTTTTCCCATTCCCCCTCCTCCAAAATTAGTAATACATTTGCAAAACAAACCCTTTCAAGGTAATTTTACTGCATTCTGAAGTAGGGGTTGTAGTTCTATTTATAGCAGCACAATGCAAAGCATCGTACTTCGCGAAAGCGTATATATACGCCTGCGGCAGTTAACGCATCGTCTGGCCGCGACGTATATATACGCCCACGGCAGTTAAGGGGTTAAGTAATTCCATGTTACTTACTTTATCTTGAAAATATTTCTCAGCTTTTGCATTAAACAGTCAGTTGAATCCTTAATATTTAATTGATTGGAATCTTCAGGGTTAAATAAAAATAATTCAGGTTAAAATTTTTATCTATGTTTTGAACAGAATTTTACTACATCATTTGTCTAATGTAATTCCTCCTTACTTGATGGTGCGTAGTTGTTAACGCCAATTTTTGAACTGGTTTTTCTCAGAATTTCAACTCTTTTCCACTCTTCAATTTTATAGGTTGCTTTTCTTCTTGTAGATTTTGGTAATTCTAAACTCCTCTCAACCATATTTAAAATAATGGTGTAAAAATAAGGTCCAGATTTGTTAAAATGATGTTCGTGGAATGTGTATTGTATTGTGGAAGTTGACTCCTAATCAATGTGTATTTTAAGCCACCTCCATAGTTTTACTTTATTTAAATTTTAAAACTAAATAATTAAATCTTTGCTATATAGTTAACATATTTACATCTAATGAAGTACTTCTACACAACTTTCAAGGCTAGCAATTCTTTTACCTAACAAACAAATATGCTGAGAGTCTTAAATTTTTAACTGCTAATTATTTCCATGTCGTAAATTCGCCAAAACAGATTTTGTTAAAGAAACTTCTGAATACCATAAGCAAAAATTGCTGAATATTTGTTTCAATAAAATTTTACATTCTTATTACAACCATCACATTGGTATTTTACATATTTTTTGTTTGTTTGATAGAAATTCTATAGATATCATGATAGACTATCTCAAAAGGCTGTATCTGAGAGCAGAACTAATTCTGGTAGACCTCCTTATTGGAAAATATTTTGCAAAGTAAGTGTTGTTTTCTATTGAAACCTTTTTTTGTTTTAATAAAATTATAAAGTTAGTTTAAATCTATGGAAACATTTAGAGTTGGTATATTTAAATATTATTAGTGTATTCTTGTAATGTAATTTCAAATGGCAAATTACAGTATTTGAATGTAATCCGTCAAATGGTCTTTATTAAATTAAAGTTAAAGTAAATAATCAAATTTTTCCTTTTTAAACAAAATATAATTAACTTTTCATAAATCACTATTGAAGAAGGCAAGATTGAAAACTTCAAAACTGGTCTGATTGAAGCATGGTAGTTCAAGCTGTTTCTTATCATCTCCTTTCAATTTCTTCCAGCCATGAACATGTTCTCTTGTTTTTAATTTTTTTTCTCAATAGTGATATATTAGTTTTAATCAATGTGTTTGTTTTTTCCTTTTGTTTTTTCTTAGTTTAAATGTTAGTGTGCGTGTATGTGTGGGTCCTAAATTTTATAAATTTGATTTCATTTAGCTTGAGAGGGATTCTGAAAATCTTTTATTCGTGCAAAATGGGATGCTAAAGATTTATGTGTCAAACACATCTTTAAAATCCCATTATCTACAAGTATGTACTCATGTGAAAATACTGACTTTAAGTTATACTTGTTTGCACTATCACTGTCCTTTAAGATTTTCATATTACTGTAGCACTCTGTAGCAACATTTAGCTTTATATGTTCCCTTTCATTTCAGACCTGGCCCCAGTGTTTTAATGTATTCATGGTTTTCTTTGTAACTCTTACAATATTTCCGGCAATACATGCTGAAATAAAGCAACTTGATGTTAATTTTCCTATTTCAGGTATGTATTTTCCTCTCATTTAATTTATATAAAATAATAGGCTTATAAAATATATCTTTCATATTGTTAAAATGTAACATAACTGGCACAGTGTAATAAGTATCACAAAAGGTTGCTAACATTAAAAATATAATAACATCTCTACAATCTCTAACATTTAAAATATAATAATTAATTCTTTGTCTAAAAACTTTTTTCAAATTCTAATAAATGAATTAAACTATAGAGTTATAGAGATTTTATTTAAATTAATCAGGAAATTACTTAGTCTACATGAAAGAACTAATAAATCTTACAGCTGTTGCATCTCCAAGTCATATTAACTCTTAAGTTTTTTGAGTGCTTATAGCAACAAAAAAAAAAGTAGTTAAAAATATATCTATACATTTAAAACTTAATGTGTGTGTATAGGTGTTTCCAAAAATGTAATTTTAGTCATTGCATGTTGCAGAATTTTCCCCCCTCTTTTCTTAAAATTATCTTTGTAATAAATTAGATTGCTTGCAATTTAAATTTTTACTGTTTTTTCCAGCTTTGATATTTTGTTCTGAAAAAAAGAAATCATATTTATTGAACACAAGTGATATATTAATTTTAAATTATTTCCTTGTTTATATGCTAATGTAGGATAACAAAATTTTTAAAAAATCCTTAAAATTTGAAATTTTAATTAAAAATTTTAAGCTAATTACTAATCATTGAAGTGACACTACAAGAGTCTATGAAAATTGTTATGTTTTCATATTTGCCATGTCTTCAGTTTCTCTCTCTAACATAAATATACCATATTTACGAACACTTATGTACCACTTGGGCAGTCTTAAATTTAAAAAATTTAGTTTTTGCATTTTTAAAATTGTTTTATCTACTTAAAATTGAAAGAAAATTAGAATTTCAATGCAACAAAGTTCTGGGCATTGGATTATCATAGAAAAACTATGTTACTGAGTGCTCTTCCGCTTAATTCTAGCTAAGCTATATTAAGATAATTTTTTTAAAATCAAATTATTAAATTTATGCACATTGCTCTGAGAATCAAGTGCAATATTGCAGTTCATATTTTCAGAGAATTGATGCTTTCAGAAAAAAAAACTAGTATTTTTCCCCTGAAAAAAATACAAAAATTGTCAGAATTAAAAATAGCAAAAAATGCTGAATGAGCAAATTTTAACTTTGGAAATATGCTTTATGATAAGTCATTTAAATTTCATTTTAAAAGAAAATTAGTTAAAAACATTACATTGAATTAATGTAACATTTCACTACACTAGTTTTATTTTTGTATCTTCATAATTTCCAAAGCATGTTTATCTGCTGGTTTCCTACTTTTTTAAGCTACTGTGTTAGGTTATATTTTAAATAATATTAATTACACTTTTTTTAGAAACCTATTTTACTCCAGTCACGTGTTACTTGTGTTTCAACTTTTTTGCCATGATGGGCAGTTTACTACCCAATTGGGTGAAATGGGTAAGCATTTTATTTATCTTTCTTAAAAGTTTCAATTAAGAATTTGTTATAAAAGATTTGTTATAAAAGTCTAATCAGTTTTTGAAAGTTAATTATGATCTGTGACCTACATAATGATAAAAAGATTTTTTTTCCAAAAAAATTAAGAATTCAGTTGTTGTCAAGGATTTATTCAAAAACAAAGTTTAACACAGATTCTTCTGCATGATGAAAATTTGATATTTTGCGTTTAATCAGTACTATCCAAATGACAAAAAATTGACTTTTGTGTCTTGCAGTAAATAATTGCTAAATAAAGCGAATAATTTGGTAAAAAATGGTGCTAATAATGCAAGATGGTTATGTATTAAAATTAGTAGCAGAAAAACCTTTATAAAATCATTTACTTTAAAGGTAGAATTTTTTCCCTCATTTGAAGCTATTATCTTTTAATAAAATGTGAGGTTGTAAGGCTCTTATTCGATCTGTGAAAATTGTGATGCCATTTTAATTTTACGTATTCTACTTCATTTGTAACGAAAGATTATGATTAGATGTGAACAATTACTCCTTACCTATCAACGATATCACAGATTCTGAATTCCTGCATTTGGAATTGTAAAATTAAGAAAAAGCAGACTAATTTTGATAAAATGTATTAATTAAAATTTATTCTGTGCTTAGCTAGAACTCTAGAAAAAAAAGCAAAAAACCTAGCATTCCTTTTGCTGATTGATGCATAAGTTACGACAAACAATGGAAAACGGTCAATAAAAAAAGAATTGTGAACTGACCATTGAATGATCAAAAGTATTATAGGTAATGTTAAACAGTAAACATACCCTCCAACTGCTACGGAATTTCCGTAGTTTCAGAAATCTTCTTTTCAGATGGTAGCAAAATTAATGTCTTAATATTTTAAAAAAATTAATTTTAGCGTAACTTGTCCACTATTACTTATAAAAGTGCAGGCCATAGGGCTAGATTCTTAAGTTCTGATAAAAGTTTTATGAGCGATCCATTTGTTTTAAAAATTTCTACTTTGGTTCGCTACCACTAGAAAGAATTATTTTCAAAATCCCCATAAGTTGGAGGGTATGAGTAAATATTTGTTTACTTTTATTGGTTCTTGCTGAACAAAGTGCAGTTTCAGCAAAGTAATGAAGAGGAACAGCTGGCAGAAATGCAGAACCAATTTTAAACTGTAAACATTGACAAACATCACCTGTTTGATGCAATATTTCCTTTCCGTTTTCTATTAAATTTCATATAGAAATTGAAATTTCTGATTCTTGAGTTATGTAATGAGAAAATAGCAAAAAGTTACTTAACATAATTTTTTTTTAAAAAAAACGTCTTATTTTCAAGTAAAAAGATAAAATTCTTATAAAATCTGTTGTGATTTATTTTCTGATACATATCATTTAGATAAATTTTTTTTTGTTCCTTTACATTTTGGGAAAAAGAGCAAGTACCAGTCATATCCCCTCCTTGTCTATGCTCTTACAATGTGTAATTCTCTAAGTATTATATCCATGCAGTTTGTTGTATTTTACAATAAGATTGAACAGATACTGTTATTATATAGCTCATGTGCATAATATGCAAGGCTGCTGGCCTTGTACGTTTTCTGGGAAAATTTCCTCTAGTGATAACAAATTTTATGTTTTTATGTATGATGTGTTTGATAAATTTGATTTTAAATTTCATGATTGTCATGTGACCTCAATGTCAAAAATTTATATTGAAAGCTACTTTGTATCAGATCTTTCATAGAGATGTTTTTAAAATGTTGGTAAAATTATCGAAAATTCTGAAAGTTTTAATTTTCGATTGTCTGCTGTTGGCAGCCCCAAATATATAATGAATAGTGCAAAACAGTTTCTTGTTCGTCAAAGGCAAATTTTGTGAGGATAATGGAAATGTAATTAATAATTATATATTATAAAGTAAGATTATGTAGATCCAAAAAATTTTGGCATTTTAATGTTACAAATCTATTAATGTTAATAAAAAACTTATGTTAAGTTTGCTAATATTGAATCTATAAAGTAGTATTTGAAGGCCTGATTTGAAAAGTAGGCCAACTCCACTTGTTAAGTTAAAAATGGAGTTATTCTCGTTTTCATGTTGATTTAAATTATATTTATCTTATTTAACGCCTAGTTTATTTCTGCTGTATTCGGAGGACTTAAGACAATAGTCGAACCACTAAGTTTACAGTACTCATTAGACGTAAAGGTCTTGCATTTCAAAATTAACAAAAATGAAAATTACCCATTGTTCAAAAAAGGCTTTCGTTTTGAGAATAATATTTATGCAAATCTAATTACGAATATGCTTTGGCCTTTATAAGTGGTGCGTTTTTGATGTTAGGAAAGTGTTTTTAATAATTTTTTCATTTGTCTTATTTCTACTGTTGTAAAATTGTTAATAAAAATCTTGTTTCTCCTTTTTTGAAGTTTTTTTCTTCCTTTTTTCAGTTGAATGCAAACATTAAGTGAATGATTACAAATCATATTTGTTTATTCTTAATTTATATGTTGCTCTCAAATCCAATTAATTAAGAGATATATTTTCAGCCTGGACCTAGATTTTTGTGGATACCAGTCATCTTAAGACTTTTGATGATACCATATTTTATGCTTTGTAACTATAAACCAGGACGAAGAGTTCTTCCTGTGCTAATCAACAATGATTGGGCATATGTAGGAATGGGAGTAGCTTTAGGATTAAGTAGTGGTTACTACAGTAGTCTTGCCATGATGTATGCACCAGGGTATGATGTTTTTATTTGAATTTGTTTGCTATTTATGTTATTGAATAAGAATATTATATTACTTTTCACTGTGATACAGGATTCTTTTCTTTATTAAATATCTGTTAAATTTCTGTGGATGATTAATCCTGTATATTCTTTTATATGAGTATTTTAGTAGTTTTTGTGACTGGTTTTTGTTATTAGAAAAATTTAAATGTTCTCTACCATCAGGATTACTGATTTACAAGAATTTTATTTTTTGAATGCGTACAGAGATGTCTAAATACATATGCTCATTTATCAAAAATTTCCTTTTATTTGGTGGAATATTTAAAGGGTTCAAACTTTCCTTTTTTTCCATTCTCTATTATTGCAGTTGCAAACAAATTTATGCAATTCACATGAGTTAAGTTTCATTAATGAAAAATTAAACATACTATTCAAGCTATTAAAATTAATTTTTTATTTATTTATTTATTTTGAAATGTGCTAAAAAGAATTGGTAAACATAAATAAATTGAAGTAAAAAACAAGCAATTATTAACAAAAAAATATCTGCAACAGCAAGTTGTAAGCTAGAGGAGTCATGAAGATTAAGGCTCTACAATTTTGGGACCAAGGGCATGATGGTGCATATGTGATCTGTATTGCGCACCTACTGCTTATACTTCTCAGACACAATGGTTTCTATTAATCTTAAGCTGAATGCTCTTAACGATGTGACCGGATACAGGATCTTAGCATAATTATAATGTTAAAAAACTTAAAAAAGTACATAATTTAAGAGGTCAATTAAATTACTTTGAATTTTAAGTAGTAAAATTAAAATTAAAAAACAATTACTGTAAAATTGACTCTATTTTACCAAATAATATCATTCATGTGATCTGCCAATTTTTTTAGCATCAAAAAGCTAAAACTATTCCCTATCTAAGTGTTAAACATCTATTTTTTGAATTAAAAATTTTATAAAGTATAAAACACGGATTTTAAGCATTTCATAAATAAATGTTTTAAAATTCAAATAATTTAAAAAAAGTCTCATCTCTATAAAAATGCACCATTTCTTTTCTACTGAAGGTCCTAGATTTGCTGTGTAATCAATGAATGTTGAATAATGCCAGTAGAGAAGTCCTCATTCAACTTGCAATATTACATACTATGAAAAAAATAAAAATATTTTAAATTTAAGCCTAAAACTATTATTTACAATGAATTAGAATTTATGTTACCAAAGCTTATCAAAATACACCCATCATTAACGGAGTTCCTCAGTTGCGGATAAGGGCACACATGTCTTTGGCTGACGATTCTTGCATACCTGTATGCATGTATGATTTTCAACGATTAGGTTTTTATTAGTGTGCGCGTCTTATATATTTTTTTAATAAGGAGTACTTAAAATATTTTTTGAGTGCTTAAAGGGTGTTTATTTTTTGTTGAAAATGGCTATGCACCCTGATTAATATATATGCCTCCTACATACTTTTTTTCTGCTAAAATTTTAATATTTTTTATGAAACCACAATCACCCCTGTTTAATATTGTTGATTAAATATACATGCCAGATATTTTTTGTTTGTTTTTGTATCTTAAAATATTTTGTGAAAACATTATTGAATATCAATGGTAGTGATATTCATTTATTAAAATGTATTAACTAGGAAGTAGTATTAAAGTAGGTAAACACTTATTTTACTGGCATTATTCAATTTAAGTTGTGCAATTTCAATCTTTGATTCTGAACTCGTTTATTTCAAACTTTTAAAATGTACATTCTCATTAGTATATATCGAAGAATTAACAAATTGGTATTATTTAATATTAGGCGGTTTATCTACCGAATATTAAGTTAATGTTAAGTTATTAAGTGAGTCAATTATACCCGTAACTAGAAATGCCCTTTGAGAAAATGCTGTATTTTTACTGAGAAGTGAAACTAAACTATTTTACCTTAGACGAAATATGATTGAGACTTCTGCTGAGGCATGTTCTGTTCTTTTGCTGTATCATCCATAATTAATGAACCAATGAAATCTTTGACTTGTGCTTTATTTACTCATTAAATTTAGATTTATTCATAAATTTTAAATAGCAATTCAAAAGCATGTCAATTCTGATAGGCTTTTAAAAAAGTTATTTTTATCTGGAAATATTTATCTTAAATTCAAATAGTGTTTATAGCTATTTAATAATTTAATTTATATTAATGTTTAAACCACTAATGAGACCAATTTTACTGACAATAGATGAAAGTTATTTTATGCACCATATTCTTTTAGTAGTGAAATGTTTTGATTCTAAATAGTTAGGGTGTATTATAGCTGGGGAAAAACATGGTTATTAGTGAAGTAGGCAATTCAGAAATGTAAAATGAAATATGTAAAAAAATTGATAAAATTGGTAGATTGTGAATAAACAAAAAAAGTAATTAATATTTCAAGGTGTTGAGTCAGTTTTTTTAAAACTTTTTTATGTCCAAAATATTAATCTTCTATCCTGAAAACATTTTCTTTTTTATAACTGTTTTAGATGTGTCAGTGCTGAACATGCTCCAATAGCTGGGATGATGGCTGCTTTATTTTTAGTGGTGGGTATAATGTGTGGAGTAAATTTTACCTTCCTTGTGAATTGGTTTGTTGAAACGAACTTATTTTGATCTGATAATTCATTAAAAATATTGAAACATCAATTGAAATGTTCCTCGAAGAAAGAACTGGTGTCATAAATCCATGCTTTATATTTTAAAATAGCGGCGTTCAGAAGGTTTTTGTATAAAAAATTTATATTATATGCATCTTAAACAATCAGATGCTGTGTATGTGTTATATATGACTTATTGCATAGTTTTGTTATTGCTTTTTATGCAAGCTGCATAATGAGACAAGTCTAATTTTGACAATATATTCTGTATTCTGAGTAGTATGTACTTAAGATAAGGTTCATTTTGATTGTTATTGATTTACATTTAGATCTTTTATGTTTGCCGTCCTTTGTTATCATTGTCTCTTTATAAACATCATTTCCATAATTGTACAATTTGTATTACACTAAGGCATTTGCTGTTGATTATTCATTTACTTTAAATTTTACAAAACTATATTTTAAGGCACAGTTTCTCAATTTATGCTGAGCCTCTGGGATTCTTTTACTTGGGAGTTAAATAAATTTGATAAAGATATATATATATATTAGCTTTTTTAACTAAAAACAGTGTATAAAAAATTAAAAAAACTATAAACCAGCTTTAAAATTCCTTGACACGTCTACATGTATGCATACTTATTTTACTTTATTTACCATTAATCAATGGAAAGGACCTGTGTTATCTGACAGACGATCAATATACATTTAGGTAAAATCAAACTTTTATTAATCTGTAGTTTATTATTGGGTTAAAAAAAAATTGATCAGAAAGAACATTATTCTACTTCAAAAGTAAAGAAATTTTTTTGACTTGAGTTTTCTACTTAAACTGTGAAAATATTCTTTAAAATTAAACAAAATGTTTGGAGCTATTTTTAGTTAACAAAAATATCATTTTAAATTTTGAGTACAATTCGCTTAAAATTATGAGCTATTAAAATACTACTTCCATCTGCTCATGCGCAGAAAATATTAAAAAAAATACTCATAATTTATTTATAAATCGTATTTGGCTACTTATGAAAAAGTTTGATTTGTTTATCTTGAAAATTTAAAAAGTTTCTAACAATTTTCTAAATAGTTTTTGTAAATTTTGGCAGAGAACTCTGAATAATAAGGAGTTTTCCACAAATTTCATTTTGTACAATTAAACAAAATTGGATTGAATTGTTTCTTTGCAGGAGATCTAATTATATATTTTTCTGAGTGAGATGCTCATATTTTAAGTTATTAATTATTAAAGTTCCTTATTTTAATCTACATTGTCTTATGCTTTTTTCATAGTATGCAAAAACTTTTGATTAAACTGGGTATATTCAATAGTATAGTACATGGCTCAAAATTTCTACTTACCAGCTCTCAATTTATAACTATATATTAACAGTTGTCAATTAAGCTTCATTTTTGAAAATGTTGAATTTTAAATTATCATTAAATTATATTAAAACACATGCTTAGATTATCGTGCCTTAGTAACACGAAAGTGTTATAATATCAAGCAACAGCAAAAAAATGCTGGTTCACCCCATTGTCACCTTTAAAACATTGTTCTGAAAAAACTGAAACCTTTAAACAGCCTTTGGTCACCAAAAAGTTCTTCATGCTACATTTTTTTAACATTATTAAAATAGTTAATATTTTTCAGGGATTGTTAATAGAGGAGAGTAAAAATTTTAGTCTGCTTAGTATCTATTCTATCTTCATTCCCTGTAATAGCACATGTGCAAGTAGGGATAATTAAACTAAAAAGCTTTCACTATAGATTGCTTTTTTTTTTGTACAGGACTCTATTGATCAATGTATATGCTTTAAAAAATGTTATTTGTACCTAAAAAAATTTATTTCTACTACTGCTCTGTATGAAAAAGTGAAAATAAATGTTGAATGTTTCTTGTCAAATCTGTAAGCTTCCTTACAGGGCTAGCTCTATGACAAGGGAAATAATATCCATTCTCCCTTCTTAAACTTGATTGTGCAGTAACATTTTATACTTTGTTTTTAACTTTTAGTTTAATTAACATATTGAAATAGTTTTTTTACTATATGCCAACCATTGATACATTTTAGATTTTAATTCCTAATAGACATTTCTAAAATAATTTTACCCTTTGTTTGGTCATGTTCCAATTCACCATCTTTGATTTTAACTTTCTGTTAAGCAATTGAAGGTTTTGTTATCTTGTGTCTGATATGATTTGAATAGAAAAAAGGTTATGAAATCATAAATCTAAAATTATCATTAGGATTATTTCAACATTAGTTCAAAATTTTTAACTGAAGTTTTCTTCTGAAATCCTATTTCAAAAACGTTTTCCTATTCTTTTGTCAAAAATTAAATCACATGAGGCTTGTGGTAGTAGACATGTATGTGGAAGGAATTTTTTTAGTAGATTATTATAATAAGTTTACTTAAAATTTCCTGTCTCACAATGGAATTTTATTTATTTTTTTGCAATTTTTCTTTCTTGATAAATATTGAATTTGTCCATTCTTTAAACACTAAATTACTCAAAACTGCAATCTACCATAAAATTTTATGTATACAATGTAAGCAGGATTTATTTACCAACATACCTTAGTTTTCATAGCTTTCAACTTATATGATCATTAAGGAAATATGTATTAATGTTTAATCATGGTTTTTAAGGTTTCAGAAGAATTTATCTATCACAATGTACCCATCAGTTGAAAATTTACTGTGGGCCTCTTACTCAAAGCACAAAAAATCTTTATTTTCATTTTTTATGGAATTTTTGAAGACCTTTTATTCTAAATTGTAGTTTAAATATAGAAAGGAATTCTCTGCAATTTTCTTTAAAAAAAAAGTTAAAAATACTAAATTTATTTCTTAGAAATTTTACTCTGCAGTCCTGAGCCCTGGGACAATTGTCTGTCTTCCTTTTATTCTCATATTCATTCCTCGTATAAATGTATGAGAATCATGTGTTAAACAATTTTGATTTCAAGTATTGGTAAAGTATTTTAATTTTTACAAATTTTTTCCTACTTTAATTAAATTACTATTTTTAATCTTTGTAAAATATTTTTCAATGATGATACCTATTAGAATTTATAAACAAGTTGTCCCACGATATGAATGAGTTTAACAAATAGTTTTTATGTTTTAAAATGTTTGTGAACTGCTGACTTAAGGTATGTTTCAAGTATTCATAAAACTTCATTTTTAAACATTCATTGCTCTTTTCTCCGGACTTTTAGGCATGAATTATTTATTTTGTGATTATTTATGAAAAGTATTTCTTTTAAAGATAACTATATTTTGTATCATATTTCCTAAAAATATGTGTTAAAATTTTTGATGTATTTTTTTGTCTAGCGATCGACGCATCTTTTTTTTTGTTTGTTAATTATTGTAACTCAGACTTTGTATTAGGCAACTTATAGTATCATCATGATTTCATGACACATCTTTTTTTTTTGTTAATTATTGTAATTAAGACTTTGTATTATGCAACTTATAGTATCATCATGATTTCATGACAGTACAAAGAAACAGTTTTGAGTGTTTATATTTCTCAGTATTGAAAATTAAATGTAAAAATGTTATATTTATGGGTGTTTAAATTTTTTTTTATATTTATGGGTGTTTAACCCACTGATGGTTCTGCATGTAAAAAGTCGTATTTTAAACTGCAGTCTTATCTGCTTAACAAAAACATTTTCCTATTTTGCCCATTTGCTAAACTGTCAGTGGGTCAAAAAAATTGTTTTCATTAATAAATGATCCAAATCAGTCAAAGGAATAATTCAGCTGAACTGATTCCTTTTGTTCATTGTTCATAGAGATAATTATGCTAAAAATCATAAATAGCTGCCGAGTTGTTTTAGCAAAAGCAATTTTATGATTTGTAGTCATTTTTTAAGTAGAAAAAAAAGTGGCAACTACTTCTTTGATTGAAAGCATTTATGCATAAGTTTAATAGTATGTACTAATTTTTCAGTGGAAAAGTCACTAGCTTATAATCTATTTTTATAAATTTATAAATATTTAAAAAAAACTTAAGATGTCTAGTACAAAAGAGCGTGAACATTGAAATGCATGTATATAACTAGCAAGTTGTATGAAGAAAAATAAATATTTCATAAAATTGTTTGTCTGTGATTAACAACTCTTTTGCTTATTTAATGATACATTTAGTACATGTGAATTTGTCACAGATATTCTTTGAGCTGATGAAAACAGCCTATCTTCATTAATATGTTGTTAATACAAATATGCATTTATTTATAAAATATTTGTATTCTATTTGTCCAAACTGGATGGTTTTCAATAAAGTCATTAGAAATTGATCTAACTGTAAAATTATAATTTTTTTCCTTCCAAATATTAGTTTTTATTGGAAGTATAGATTCTACTATTGTAAAATTTCAATGGAAAAGAACATTTTAGACTCTTACTTAAGTTTTATAATTGTAATGAATAAAGTTAATTAGCTTTATTTTATATTTAAAATAAATATTAAAATTTTATGTAGGTTTTTTTTCAAACGCATATTTTGGAAAATTTATTTTTATTCCAACATTAAAATTTAACTTGATATTGTATGCTAAATTTTAGAATAGTAATAAGAATAAAGAGTGCAATCTGACATTTGCAAAGTCTTGTGTAATTGAAACAACTGAGTTACTTGAATATTTATATACATATCGTAAATGATTCAAACTTTGGTGAAATCACAAGAAACTTTCCATTCAATTTGGCAAGTCTTATGTCTGATATCTTATTATGAAAAAGTTTTTATCACTATTTTTAAGTTAATTACTTATTTTTTTAGAAAAAAGTCTATATTTTCAAGTTTGGAAAAGGTTTAAAAAATTCTTCTTTGTGTCTTCTGCTCAAATACTTTCCTCCGTGTTATTTTTTTCGTTTATTTTGTGAATGATTTCTTTTATTCTAAATAAAAATAGACACCTTATCTACACCTTTTAAAAATCAAATTTTTTTTAACGCAAGCTGCTTGAGGTGAATGCTAAATGCAATATTTTAGATTTCTCGAATCGGAATTAATATTTCAAAATATGTATGCTATGTTGTAAAAAATTTTTAATTACGTAATTATACTAAATTTTTGGTATTTATTTTACAGATACAGTAAACGCTTGAACTTAGGTTTCATTTAATATATTTTTGGGGGGAAAATCTTTGAGCTCAAATATTTTATCAGTGTGTTTGTCATGCCTTAAATTTCATTGCAATTTTGAGGTTCAAAAAGTCACCTTGTTTACTGGCAAGTATTGTACTTACTTAATATTGTGAAAACATTTTTTTAAATCAAAGTATATCTTGTAAGTTGTGTAAGTATATTGCCAAATATGATTTTCTAATAAGCAACATGAATATTTTTATTTTTCCTTTTGCAGTGATAGTGATGTGATTGCTGCACGGAGTTTGACATTTTTGCACAAAATTGATTTAATCTTCATTGATACTAGCTGTATTTCTAACTGCTTCCAAATTCTTTCAGATTTGCTTATTATTTTAAAAATGTTATTTCAGAACTTCTCTAAAAAATTTAATTTTTGCTAAAGATATATGTTTTTCTTTTAATTCAGTTTCTATGACCAAGATTTATATTGATGCCACTTTAAAACAAAAACTTGTTGTCTAATTACAATTTTTGGTAGAACAATATTATCCTCAAAACATTAAAATTGCCAAACCAGAAAAAATTTTTATTCTCAATCACATCACTGTTATACTTGTTATAGTTATTTTTTTTTTAAATTTTGGATTTTTTCTTACAGCATTTATATTTACATTTTTGTACTGTACTTATAAAAAGTGTATATACTATTCTGTATAATTTTCCTTCAACATTATATATTAACCTCTACATTAAAGTAAATATTTTTGTATTCATATTTTTCTTTGTACTGCCAAAAATAAGTTCACTGCATAAAATCTTGTATACTAAATGTAACATAGAAATATGGATTCTTTCAATGTGCGTCACAAATTTTATGATCTTTTATTGTTCAGATCTGCCTTTTTATACTAAATTGTTATAATATTTCTAAAATAATAAAAAAGACTGACTTACAGTGTGTCCCAACTAAATAAAGCTTCCTTGATTTGTTTGCCATAACTGGAAACACACAAAAAAAAAAAAAAAAAAAAAAAAAAAAANAAAAAAAAAAAAACTTAGATATTAATAAAGTTATTGTACACATATTTTCAAGGAGTAGTTCACTTCCTCTTCTTCTTTGACGAAAAAAAAATGCCTCGAATAAGTGGAAAAGGAGGGGAAAAGTATCCTATCTAAATAAAGCCCCTTCTGATTATGGCTAATACAGGGCTGATTGTGGTCCGGAAAAAATCCGGATTTCCGGAATTTTCGCTCACAGTGATCCGGGAGTTTCGGAGATCGAAGGTCCAGACGTTTCAAAAAATCATTGATCACTGAAGTTTCCGGAAATCAAATTTTCAAAGGTGAAACTTAAAAACACAGTTTATTTTATTTGTTTGTAAGGGAGAGCCAAAGAGATACTTTATAAGCTTATATTCATGATTAATATTCATTTTTTATCAGTAAATAGTTGTTATAATCTTAAACTCAAGAAAGAAAGACATATTTGTAAATTTTAATTACTTCTCCAGGTCATCATAGGTATAGGTATGTAAATGGTATAGGTATGTGTAAAATTTTCAATATATTTTAAGTAAACTAAGAAATATTGAGAAAAAGGAAAAAAAAACCTTTAAATTTTTTCAATTTAAACTGTTTTTTTTTTCAGGAAATTTTCCGGAATTTTGACTTGGGCTCACAATCACTCCTGCTAATATATCCATATTGTTTAAATATGACTTGTAATATCAGATGTGTACCTTTTTTTTCAACCCTGGATCACATAAGCATTAATCCTTCCCGAATTTCAATGATGGCAGCATCAATTCCATCTCAAGCTGAAACTGTCCCCTTTTTGTATATACAGCCCTATCAATTGATGTTAGCCTCCATGATTTCTTGGGAATTGTTGTTAAGGGAAAGCACAGGCCCTTCATGACAAACACCCTGATATCTGAAAACCACGACAGTGAACATTTTCCAACCCAAATGGGGTTATTGTTCTTCTGGAAAATTGGACTTGAACCATCAATTTTCTCTGAAAGGAGATAAATGGATTTCTACAATATTTTGATTATAGACAGCCCGTCTGAGTGAGAGGCTAGGTTATGTTTACTACCATATCTGAAACATTCTCTCACAATTAATAAGCCTCAAGTTTAATGTATTATGGAGAAGAAATCCTCTTCTTTGCGAATGATATTGTAAGGGTACACAAAACTGCCTGGATCATCTTAATTCTTTTTTTTTCCCCTACTCTCCTGTTTTTTTTACATGGGCAACTCTAATTTTTTTTATGTATATTGCAAAGTTTTTGTGGGATGTATAAAACAAAACAGTAGATGAAAAAAAATTTAAGAAAAGATAATATTCTTTAAATGGAGCTCATTTTCTGCTAGAATTGTTGACCAAAATCTGATATTCCAGCAAGAGAATGCTTCATTTGCACTGCAAATCTTAAATATGATTACTGCAGTAATGGCAGACATCAAATTGAAGATTGCCGTCATTGAAACTTGACATAATGATGCTATTGTCATCTTGGGATTGGTAAATGGCATGCAACATCACATATTTTAAGTCAGATAAAAAGTAAAGTGGATTTTTGGCTATAATCAGACAAACAATTTTTTCCCTTCATGTTTTGTTTTTTCTTGTTCAGGTGGGGCAGGACGTGAGTTACTCCTTGTAAATATGTGTTGAGATTTGTTAACATGTATATTTGTTTTGCATTGGTTTCCTTTGCGTCCAGTTATGACAAAAAAATCAAGGTGGCTTTATTTAGCTAGGAGACACTATATTCGTTCACTTTTCCTTAGTAGTCAATAATTATTTTTATTCATATATTTTGTTTATTTTATTTTCTGCTTTGCACGGAGGTATTTACAAACTTCACGCAGTTTAGATTATAAGAAATTTTAGTGTTGAAAGTATCAGGAGTGGTACTTTTCTTTGTAAGGAATATTGAATGATGGCACTTAACGATTAAAAAATCACCAGTGATATGAATACGATGTATTCATATCACTGATTATTACCTATCTTTTTCAGATTTAAATATCATTCTAAATCTGAAAAAGATAGGTAATAATCTACTCCTCAAAGGGAGGCAGCTTGGAGTTGATGGAATTGAGTTTCACGCTTGTTGTTTTGCTGCCGGGCGAAGTTGCAGACAGTTGGCACATAATTTTTGCTCTTTGAATTCCAATATGAGATCCAATTGCTCAGATTTTTAATTGCGATTATATGGAAATCAGTATGCACATCAATATTTTAGAGAAAAAAAAATCAGATTATGGAGACCTCAACAACCAATGTCTCAATAGCCAATGGTTTGCTGATAAAGTGGCTGGGAATTTCTATCTCAGTGCTGGCCGACCGAAAATACATCTGTTATCACTCAAAATGACAATGTGAATAACACTTTCAAACCAGATTAGAATCATATATTCCTTATCAAATTTTAATGATAAACTAAAGAAAAAGATCAGTATTTGGTAATTATCCTAATTATAATAAATAAACCCTTCCTTCCAATTAACACTAAGTGTATGATGCAGCATCATAGTCTATTCCGGCTCTTGTTCTTTAAAATGGAAGAACTGAGGTGGACAACTATATGGAACCACGAAGCTTTTAGTTTTTGTAGTTGGAGCTAGTTGCCGACTTGCCCTATTGCACTTTAAGTACTAATGCCGAGGATTCAGAATAATGCTGCCAAAGGAAGCAAGTACCAACTTGAAGCAATAAAGTGTTGAATTCATGTCAATGATGTATAATAAGGTGAAACTGCGAGGTAGTTACTTCGTCTAGCAGAACTGATTGGTCTCACTGCTGGCGGCTAGTTGTGAATTAAGTGTAAAATTAACAATCTCAAGATTCTTTTATTGAAATGTTTTATTTCGAGCACAGTTAAAATTTCGAGGCCCAGGCGAATACTCCTGCTGTCCATTTAATCAGGCTTTGCTGGGGGAAAAAAGGTCATTGTTAGAAATTCTAGATTAATAATTTGACTGTTGTAAAAATTTCATGAATCAGCAAGGCTCTGTGAATAAAGTGTAAAATTAAAATTTCGAAAAATCTTTTATTTGGAGGCCATTAAAATTTTGGTACCAGTGGCAAATATTTCTCTGCCTATGTGATAATTAGGTCACGCTGGGGGGGAAACATTGTTAGCAATGCAAGAAAACTTAACAGTGCAAGCAAGAGGACATTAAAAAAGTTAAGGTTGAGATTATAATAAAATCTAGAAGAATTCAAACTAATCGATTTGCCTCTAAACTCGACTGAATGTGACGTTTTAACAAAGCGAAAAATTGTCCTTACTGGAAGGACGAAAAAATAGCATTCTCTCCCCTGCAGAACCATGATATGTGCCACATAACATATGGAACGGGCCTTTCTGACTCTAGCTGCCCAAGATAACACGGACATGATCTGAATGCAGTACTCTCGTATTACATCTTGTATAATTTACTCCACAATTTCTAAGGAAATTTCTTTTAAGTCTCGCTCTTTCGCTACAAGAAGCTCGATCATTAAGGGTTCCGTAGCCGAAAAAAATTGGGAACTACTGGTGGTCTAGACAATTACAACTGGCCATACTAACGATGTGTATACAAAGAAATTCAAAAATCAAGGTTTGGGCTAAGCTACGATGTTTCAAAACATCCTTATGCTACGAGCTTCTGCGAGCAAATTGAGGTACAGAGCGCAAAAAAATAAAAAAAATCAACGTGAATAACTTTTTCTAATGATCGGATTTTCACGAAATAAATGTCAATCGTAATGATTCCTGAATGTGAACTCAAATATGCTAGTTAATTAGTACTAACTATTAATTAAATTAAGAAATCGGACACTGAAACGTACTTCCTCAGAATAAACATGTATTCCGCAACCGGGAAATTGGTCCTAATAGTTAAATCAAGAGAGCGATTAAAAGTTTGATACCCTTAATGTTAATTTCACTTTTTGCATTTTTGGTCATATTAATTGATCACATTGAAAGTTAATGGTGCAATTTGAAAAAATTTCACCCATTTATGAAACTTGCTTGTACAAAGATAATTTCACAAAAAAAATAATTTTTTATATTTATTTGTTATTTAATTTAGCACTGGATAAAAAAAAAATTTGAATTCTAAGCCATACATTTTTAATACCATATTAATCTTCATATTTTTCTATTGCGAAATATTTTCATATTTTCTAAAATTTCAATTGGTTTTATTGAGTTGAAGCCAAGAAAAATTGAAATTCTTTTTAAAAAATAATTTGGCAGCAGAGAAAAGAATACTTAAATGGAACGATTTATGATTTTAAAAAAGTAACGAGTAAAAGGTACAAGTACAAATAAAAAAAAAAGTAACGATTTTAAAGTACATTTCAAGTAAATTGAAAATTCAATGTAGCCTTAAATTTCATTAAACAAATGTAAGGAAAAATATGATTTTAATTTAAATTATATTAAATTTTAGTTGAAATATATAAAACATTATGAAAAAGTTACTAACTTCACTGAAATAGTAAATATTGAAAATATCCAGAAATCAAAATTCAATGTGTCCCGCAGTGGACTGATCGTAAAGACACGGTTCTCATCAGTTCACCGAAGTCAAGCATCACTGGCTGCGGTCAGTGTGCGGGTGATATACCACTTGGATCAGTCTGCTTAGGGACCGACGGTGTGCGGTATGGATGGTGTTTTCAGTAGAAATGTAAACAATCTCGATCTCGGGACCTACTCTAGTTCCGGTTAAAAAGTTTGCAGCTGCTTACTACATGTTATTCTGATAGGCGATGTTTTCAAACGGATAATTTTGTTTTCAATAAAAGAAATAAATTAGATAATTTCTGAGCTCAAATCTGCCGTCTTTCATAAGATATTAATGTTATTATGTAATTCTGGGGAGTTTGGAGTGAAAATGTGTTTTAGTTATTTTGTTATTTATTATTAAAAAAGGTGACATGGTT